ATAAGATGGGAGAATACGGGAGCAGAAAGTTTTGAAACTTGTGGATTTTCAGTTTTTCTGGACCTTCTCAGTATTTCGACGTTTCCCACCCCAAAACTTGATCAAAATGAACTAAAAGGTGATATTCCGAATCAGCACACTTTCTTCTATCAGAATATGTATGTTTCGAATCCAAATAAGAACCTGAGTAAACTTTGAATTACGCGCGCCTTACGTATGAGGAGCTGGTGTGATCGAGCGTTCACAAACTCTGCTTTGTGTTTTCTAGATGTCATGGTGTAACGTTCTGGGCGTTGTTGGCGGTGTTATTGTAATAATCGTACTTATCGCGACTATTATTAGTACACCTGAGGTAACCCTAAGTATTTTTACTTTTGTGTTACTGGCTCTAATGTTCCTTTTGTTGGTAAGTAGAGTTGTTAACCCTTGCAAAACTCACTAATTTAAAATACAGAGGTGTACTTCTTTTTTCCGATGTATAGGCTGTGATCAAGATTTATGTATTTCAATTAGCAAACTTACTTAAAGATAATGACCGAAACCAGTCATATAATATAGAACAAAAAAATAATACTGATGATGATTTGTAACTTTTTGCTTTGACCGATAAGTATTTAAGTGCACTGCCTCGCCCCTCTTTTTTGAAAAAATTTCAGATTTTGAGCTGAGCGTAGCCGAATGTAGAAGAAAGTGTGGGCTACAAAATGAGACCACTCTCAGCACTCCACGACCTTTCTTCAAAAGCGTTTTGATATTTTTTCTTCAAAGCCAAAAGAAGCTCAAGTTTTTAGTTTCATAAACTTTTCTTTCGTTTTCTGTACATTCAGAATTTATCTTACACATAGTGTCATAGACGAAAGTATTTTGTTCACAATCAGACGTCTCCTAGAATTTTCCGATGAGTTTTCGTGGTGATAAAAGCATCTCGACAAATGCCCTGAAAAAAGCGGTCTGTGTACAAAAAGCGTTTTTCCTCGAAAACTATTTTTTTGCTACCGCGCTTTATTGTGCCACATTATGATTTTCTCCTTAAATTTCATCTGATCGAGTTCCAAATTTTATCAGAGATACTTAAAGATACTATCGCAGAGGTTATTTCTTGGAATTTTATTTTAGACTTTTCTTTACCAAGTTATAGGATTTGTAAAATTGAAAGACTTTTTTTGACGTTTTGAAACGTTTTTCAGTATTTTTCCTATAACTCGACCAGGAAAGATCTTAAAAAAGTTTCGCGATAATTGGTTTAAGCTATTTATTTATTTAAGAAATATTTCATGGGCTCTAGTTCTTAATTCGGCATTGCCGTTACATAAGAAACTAGGGCCTGGCGATGCACTTAGGCAATGAGCATTAAGAGAGAAGAAGTCATGAAATGTGAAATGAAAAATTAGATTAAATATTTACACGATACGTACATAAATGCATAAATTAGTGACTGGTTAGTGAGCAAGATTACAAGAAAAGTAAGAGAGGTAGAAGGTTTCGGCTGCGTATTGACTTGAGGAATTACATAAAAGTATTATGTAGAGAGATAGTAAGAGGTAAATAAATACCAGTAGACTGCACACACAATGAAAGAATAAGCTAATTGTAGGCTACTTCAGGTGGTTACAATGTTATAAAACGACCAGTTTCACATATGTATAAGATGGTAGCTTTATAAATTTTGAGATAATGATCAAACGAATAGGAATCAGTCAAGAGGATAGTGTTCATATCGATTACCAGATCAGAGTTACACTCATAAATTGAATTGAAAAGTTTTGTACGAGCTGCTGTATAGTTTGAGCAATGCAGAAAGAAATGCTCGACTGTCTCCAACTCAGAGCAAGAACATAACTGAGAATTTGGTGTCTGTACTATTTTGCGATGAAATAAGTCATATCCGAGGATTGAGAGTCCAGCACGCATCTGATGGAAGATAATATCAGCTTTTCTATTCACTTCTTTTACTATTATCTTCTTTCTGCCTAAGAACTTTGCACCATATTCTTTTTTAAATTTCCTTATTGATCTTATCATACGCAAATTTGTGTCAAGTTTATTCCACAACTTAACAGTTGATGGAAAAAAAGAGAGATGAAACAAAAACGAAAGAGAGCTCTATTGAATTTCTTGTCAGTTCTGAAAATATGAAGCCCTAGTGACTTTTACTTCTTATTCTACAGAATTTCTACGAAAAGTCCCAAAAAGAGGAGAGGGGTATCCTTAATACTCATTTATAAAGTCACTTTGTTACTTTACAGAAGTATTTTTCTGTTCCGTATTAGATATTTATTCTCCTAGAGAAAATGTAACTTGCAGATCTATCTGCTATGTGGAATCTCAGCTGTTCTGTAGCGCATAACTGTATAAACTTAATAATAGCAAATAACGCCAAAACCCTTAGAGGCGTTCCACTAATCATGTTCGTCAATGGCGAAAGGAAATCTCGGAAAAAAATGAGTTACAGCGAGCGACAAGTTATAACTAATCCGTTCAGTATTTACAAGCGTGGTTTCTGTAAAAAAACTATAAATAGCGCGCTGCAACTTCTTCTCCTCTGCATTCAACATAGCAACTAATTCGATTGATCATTTTATTAAAAGCGATTCAGACAAACAATTGATTGGTTTATTCAGAAATAATACATAAAGTGAAAGTAGAGAGCAACTGGGCTATGCACAAGTTGCGATATCAAAACTCGAAAGACATTATTTCCGGCGAAAGAAAGCCAACTATTGCTAAATTTGTTTAACACTTCATTCGATCTTTCGGTATATCCAAACCACCAACTTGAGAAGAATAACAAAAGGAGAATTCTTTTTTTTCTTTTAATCAAAATCGCTCAGAACAATAAAAAGTTTGAAAATTTTCCAAGTCTAAAGGCCATTTTGTTTACATTTTGGGACCGTCATCTCTAAGTTTACTTTATTCAAGCGATAAGAACCGTCAGCTGCCAATATTCAATACACCAAAAATCCACTACCTTTGTCAAAATTGTTCTACGAGCTCTAGTTCTCTAGGATATGATACTCAAATTTCACCCAGAAAGCGATCAAAGAAAAAAAGAGAATAGTCGTGCTGCGCATAAGCTGTGATGTTGAAAGACTTCTTATGCGCTGATGCATCATAGAACATGTCAAAAAGTCCACATAAAAAAAACACTTGCTTAGCCAAAATGTCGTCAGGCAACCTCAGAATTGAACCAGATTCAAAAATTCGCGTCCGAGAACGGATAAACTGCACATCATTCGACCGATTATTTTGCGCTGATCGGTTTTTTAGTACTGAGCAAGTACTTTATATTTATGTTCTCAATGAATATCTAGTATTTTATAATCTTCATCTTCACTATCATAATCGTTTGATATTTTTTCACTATGAACCATTTATATTTACTAAACGATTTACTTCGGTGAACTAGGATGAATATAATGATTGATTAGCAACACGAATCAAATCTAGTACGTATCACCACAAGTGTTTTAAGTGTGCGAACTGACACAAATAATCGTTGAGCAGGACACTTTAACGGTCTGCCGCCTGTGGTACGTGAAAACCAACAATTACAACATGCACAATTAACCATCTGAATAAAACCACCTATTCTTTTAAATATTTTTTGTTTAAAATATTTAAATCAAACGTATACACATATTGAGCAAAAAATTCTGTATTGTATGATGCGTGAATAAATCAAAAAAGATTTTTATATGTTAATAAAAATAGACAATCTTCTCTAAAAAACCTTCGATTTAGCGCGGAAGCTGTACTTAACTGACTGTTTCGGTATCAACATAGGACTTTTTTTTTAATAAACCATACATATTTCTGTAGCTCCGAACATGGGTTTTCCTCAGCCATAACTTCTGAATTGAAATCATCAAAATCCTGTCATCTAGCAAGGGTCAGAAACTGGAAAAAATACTAAATTACCCATAAAATAACATATTGAATCTGAATTTCAGGTTAGTTTGGATAGTTCGCCACATGAAAAACCACCTGGCCAAAGCCAATACTTTGTGTCTTTTTTAGCACTAATCGCGTAGTGTGTGGGGTAACAAGATTATAGATGATTTTTTCATAGAAAAACATTTCTCTATCATCTTTTCGATTTGATGTAGCTTTTTAGCCTGAATTCGAATGTCACATATATTTTCCTTTAGAGCCATGTAATCGGAATGAAAATCGCTGAAAATGTTTGCTTGTCTTTTTAACAGTCGCTATCCAGGAGAGAGATGTAAACCTTATTTCGCCTCGAGGGTCAATACTTTTTACTAGTATTTTTTTATCATTTTGTAGAGAGTGAAAACTCTGGTATGTGAAATAAGAATTTATCTTAGCTTGGTTCGATTAGAAAAACGCTGATAGTAGATATAATACTGTCAAAAGTATATCGTTATGAGCTCATAAAGGATGACCTACTCCACACATCTTCGACTGTATAATCCTAAGAAAAAATGCTCTAACTTATTGAAGCATAATCCTAGTAGATATTCAAGGAACAATGTATCACTATCCTCTGCATAAAAAATTCGCATAAACTTAAAATCGCTGGAAAATTGGTGATTAATCACGATATGTCGCAACGATAATGTCGAGCTGAAACGCGATTAATGACTGATTTTTTCGCGACACTTCCACGGTTTTTGCGATAAGGGTGTGAGAGTGGGTATATACGTATGTGGCTGTGACTGTGGCTGCGTGGATGGGGTGTGGCTGGTTAGGTGTGACTCAAAGTAATCCCACACCCACCCACACCCGTCTTTATGTTAGTAAAGTTTTAAGTCGAAGTTCACTATTAAAGTTCGATCTTCTCAGAAATAAGTCATGAGCACGAATTCTTTTTATAGTAGATTAAGATGGAGTAATACTCGTCTTAAAAGCAAGCGAAGAAATGGAATGTTCCTGTATCTCCGTCGGAATATGAGCTTTTACAAATTTTCTATCGAAAAACTTGCATAGAATTTATTTATTTTGTTTATTTCAAGAGATGTAATCCAAACTGAATTAATGCAAATTTTATCAATTGTTGCCATGGAAAAACCACGTTCAATGAAAGCTGAAGATATTCGTAATGAAAAAGTGAGAGTATTACGTTCTATATTGCCAATTAAAACTGAAGATGTTGTCATTGGACAATATGTTGGTGATAAATTTTCAACAGATCCTGAACGTCGAAAAGGCTATTTAGATGATGAAGGTGTTCCAAAAGATTCAACAACACCGACATATGCACAAGTTGTTCTTTCAATAAATAATGAACGTTGGGCTGGCGTACCATTTATTCTTCGTGCAGGTTTTATTATAAATCACTAGAGAGATGTTTATTTTTTTATTTTTTTTCTAGGTAAAGCATTAAATGAGAAGAAAATTGAAATACGAATTCAGTTTCATGATGTTCCTGGTGGAATATTTGATGAAGATATTCGTCGAAACAATCCCAATGGTCGATTAGCTCGTAATGAACTTGTTATACGTTTTCAACCAGATGAAGTCATTTGTCTTAAAATAAATATAAAACGACCCGGTGAAATGGATTTTAGTATTGAAGAAGCCAACACTGATTTAACACATGATTCCCGTCATGGAGTTGGTGAAACGCCTGATAGGCATGGACGTTTAATTCTTGATGCATTTATGGGTCCACAACTTAATTTTGTATGCCCAGATGAATTACCAGAATATGGCGTATTTTCGATCCAATACTTAATCAAATTGACTATAAAGAAATATCAATCATTCCATATGAATTTGGTAGTTTTGATATACATCAAGCATTCGAAGCAGCAGCTAAACATGGTTATATTTATCAAGGGACTTATTTGAAAAACGCTTTCAGCGCAACCCCTACGGGATTAAAATGTGAAACATGATGTAGCTGCCTTTCATAATCACAGGGAAATTTTTTGAGTCTATCTATTTCGGAGCACATTCCTAAAATATCGTTTTACTCATTCCGTCAAAACTGGAATCAGAAAGTAGTTCATATATTATAATAAAAACGTTATTAATGCATGGTCTTTGATCTTATGCCGACAGTCTTGCATAGTCGGTGGTTGCTGCTCGGAGTGTCTATGAAGGGTATTAAACATGTCTGTGACGGTCTTTGACGGATATTCTATCACCAACTAATTCCCTTTTCTGAAAGAAAGGGTTTTACACCGACTAAAAAATGCTAAAAGTTTGTCTGTCTGTCTGTACAGGGTCAAAAGAACATTACCGCCCAGGACGCGAACTGCGAGATGAGTTGATGCTATCTGGGGTAATTCGATACGGGGAGTTCGAATCTGGGATCAGTTAGTATTAATTAATAGTTAATAATCAGTTAATAGGCAGAAATTAATAAAGTTGGTGAATTGTGGAATAAACGTTGAACATAGGTTCTCGACCTCGGGGAGTTCGAATCTAGGGTTTTTCATGTCGAAACGTCATTAGTCAGTCATAAACCAATGAAAATCTACCTCTTTTGAAAAAGATCTCTTTGAAAGTTACTCGATGCGGGGAGTCTGAATCTGGGTTCCGTTTCTCTTGGGATCCTGTTGGTTGGCTTGGAACCAACGAAGATCACGTCTCCCAAATAAGGGTATTGCCAGTGTAATTTGGTGCGCACAGACTGAATCTAACCATTATTCGTGTTGAAACTCTATCTGCGACGCATGTGTTAATACCAATCTATGTTACAACGACATGTTTTGTCAAAGATCATTCGGAGAAAGAAGCTCAAATACAAAAACGCTTCTGTTTGTAACAATAGTATTGAATCAGAAACTTTGAGAGTTCAGATTTTGAACGTAAGCAAACGGCTACAAAATGCATTTGATGTCAAAGGAGGGGGGAAGGTTTGCCCACAAATCGGCCCTAATAGAAAAACTACTCAGAACCTCGACTATTATGTATAGTCTGATAGATCTCGACAAGCTGAGCATTTTTTGTCACAGAACTTGGTCTCCAGAACGCTTTCTGAAAAATTTCTGTCTCCCTGAATTTCTGAGATTGTTGCACATGCTTTCATCATGTTTCATTAACTCGATCTAAACTGTTCAATGAACTGAACAGGTAAGCTCACTCCTTTTCTCTTCTATGGCTAATGCTTCTCGTCATTTTCAGTTTCCGAACACGCGTCATATAGGCTGTCATTATCAATTTACACAATCTGTCTATCGGAAAGTTCAGACGCTCGAGTCGGTGTTCATTTATCGTGATGAAGAAGATGCTCGATCGAGTGTACGCAAACTGGTGGCCCTCCTTCTTCTCCCATTGAATCAGATCGAATGCGCCTTCGACGAAATCGCCAATGGATCTCCTGACTCGATTCAACCACTACTGGACTACTTTAATGGATATTGGATGACGAAAGTGAACAGAAAGCTATGGAATATTTTGGATCTCGATGTTCGAACGAACGATTTAGTCAGTTATTTTCTCTTTCCTGCACGATCTCACAATGATAATCAGGCTGGAATCATCGATTCAATCGTCGAATGACCAAATATCATCCGAATATTTGGTACTTTTTCGATTGTCTCAAGACCGAAGAAGTCGTCGTTCGGCAAGAAATTCTGAAGTCACTCATGGGCGGAAAGAAAAAGAAGAATAAAAACACTCTTGCTCTTCAAAGCCGAATTCAAACACTCGGCTCGCAGTTTGATCAGAATAAAATCAATCTCAGTGAATTTCTGGAAGGTCCTTCTCTGCTCATTGGAGTGCAGAAGCGATATTTTTTGTTCTTTTCAACACAACTTCCTTGTCTCATTCCCGTTATTTTAAAAATAAAGTCTCTATTCTTTCGAACCTTCCCAGCCCGTTGCTGAAAAACACCTCTCGCGAACGAACATTTTACCCGACAACAGATTAGACATCTTTAGGCGATTTTTTCCATTTTCGAGTTTTTTGTTGTCTGCTATTTTTCGAAGTTTTCTCCTTCGGACAAAAGATTTTTCATTCGATCTTTTTAACCCTCGTAGTACCGGCCTCTTTTAACTGTTATACTGACAATATATGCTTTTGTAAAATAATTCTTTTACTTTTAAATTAATTTTTGAATAAGATCCGATGTTTTCTAGTTTGACCTGATAGAAAAAAATGAAAACGATGCTTTTATTTCGAGCAAGGGATACAAAAGATGCGTTTAACAGAATGTTCACTACAAACGAACGAGGAACAACTACAACATTGAGTTGATGTTTTCTTGTCTCCAGAATAATCACAAATCGAGCACCTTCTTCGTTTTGGCTTAGTAGAATCTTCAATTGGTTCTAACGGATTCTTGTTCAACACAGGATAACCCACAACAGCTAATGCATTTCGAATATCTGTGTTCAAGAACTTCGAGTTCTTTGAACGAAAATCCATTAGGTGTGATACCAGAGCCACGCCTAATTCTTCCAAAGATAACCGACGTTAATATTTTTTATTCTGATTCCACTGAGGATTTTTTGCCTTCCAGACAATCAGAGCGTTTATGGCAGCAATATCTATCATTCCATAAAAAATACACAGTGGCCATCGCTTTGTACCTCGTTTCACCTGAAACAAAAATGAAATAGAGTAATACTGAAAACTTTTTTTACTGTATATTTATGACACATTTGGTCAACAGTGTCGACAGCTCCTTTTGTTTTATTATAATCCAAAATAATAATTGGTTTTCCAGTTTTCTTGTCCACTTGATTGTCGTGATGTTTCGAAGAGCGTAGTAATACCGCTCTATTCTGCTTGGGGACAAAAGACACTAAGGTTAAATCGTCTTGAAAACCAAAGAGCGAAGAGTTGACTTCACGATCTTTGTTGCATTGAAACTCGATAGGTATTTCTGATTTGTTTCTTCGCATTATTCCTACAAGAGTCAGATTCTTTGTTTGCAGTTCTTGGCCCAATGGAACACTTGTAAAGAAGTTATCCATTGTAACGTTTCTGCTCGAACCATAAAGTGGTTCGAGTAATTCGAGAACTACTTTGGCACCTATCTGTGTTTGTCTTTGCTCATTCGGTTGTCACCCAACGTAAGGAAATGCATTGAACACATAATGTGAATCTGTATCAACGCATAGCCAAAATTTCAATCAGTATTTGTCAGGTTTCTTTGGCATAAATTGACGGAAAGAACATTTTCCTCTAAATCCTAATAGCTGTTCATCAATGGTAACATTAGATCCTGGTGTATAACATGTTTGTAAACAATTTTGGAAATTTGACCAGATTTCACGTATTGCTGCGAATTTATCTGTTTGTTTTCTTTCTTCTCTTGTTCTTTTATCATCGAATCTCAAACAAGAAATAATAGTTTGAAAACGACTTCTTGACATGGTGGCTTTGAATACTGGAGATTCTAATGGACTTCTTCTTCGTAAACATTTCAGGTCTGTCTTCGATTTTCCCAACAAACCAGCAAGTAATAAAAGTCCAATAAAAGCTTTCAATTCCATGATAGTTATTTCTTCTATTGTTTCATTGTAAGTGTTCTTCTGAGTATATTCCAAGTTTGAATAAATCAAAATTTTCTCAAGAATTAATTTTGATTAAAAGCACATAAATGCATCTTCAATGAATGAGACATCTTCAGTGATATTTGTAAGACCAGTTTTTTTGATAGTGTCGTTTGAGGACTCATTCTTCGTTGGATGATGAGGAGTTGAAGACCAGATCATTCCAGAGGTGGAACTATATGAACTTTTCCATGTCGAATCATCATTTATTTTAAGATTTTCTAAATCAATTTCTCATCATCGTCAGATGTTTGACTTTCATCGACTCTCGTTTCCGAACCGCTGTTTGGATCATCCAAATAATCACTATCGCTTTCGGCTTCACTTGAACTGTTCATAATAGTTATGACAATACTTCAGACAGCTGGATCCAAACAAAATGAGAAAAAAGGTGAATCTACAAGGAAAACATCGCCCTCATTACCCATTTAGTCAATGGATGACTCATTGTATAAGGCATTGAAAAATTTCACTTTTTCTCCTTCCTTTAATACATACTGCCGATACTGTATTCTACCAAGAGGTCGTAGTAGTACGGACAAAGAATGTACTTCGTTCTAGTTTCACCGACGTATGTCTATCCGTAGAGGATGCTGGTTGCTGCCTAAAACTGGGAAACAACAAAATACGTCTAGCATATTTTCGAGTTTTTCAGAACAGGGTCAAAAATGACCCTGGCCGGTACTACAAGGGTTAACCATGGCCGTTATGATTACGAGTCAACCGTTGCTGGAAGTCGCGACAACCACGATTGAAGTCAACACTACTCGGCCAGTTCAAAATGTCGCGCCTCGTAATAATCCGACCACCAGACAATTAGCTAGAAGAAGGCAACGACGACGTCAGCGACAAAGAGACCGACAACAAGACATGATACATCAGCAGCGGCAGCGAGAACGACAACGCTGGACCCCCAGATCACCACCTCGTGATCGACCACATACGAACTACACTCGAGGACACTGGAGGCAAGGACGTTTACAAGAAACATTCGGGAACAGTTCGGCAAATCATGATCCGATTCGAGAATCAATAGATTCTCCCACCGACGATATGCTGTTGGATTCATACATGTACAACTTGGAAACAATTGATCCAAGAAATAGATGGGAGCAAGAACAACTGTATGAATTCGAAGGCTTTGTCGTTCTTGAGCACCTCCAATTTCTGAGCGATCAAACAGAACAACAGGAGAATATCAACGCCGAAGAACGATTCGCACAAACCAAACTGGAAGAACAAAACGATCAAGAGCTTCTCCAGCTCGAACAGAACGAACGCATAGATTTTCTTCTCCTTCAGATGAATCAACCACTATTGTACGAATAATGACTACGCGTTTCATGTACATATCTGCCGTCCCTTCTCATTAAAAAACTGCACACCTGACCATCTGCTCTAAGCGACACTGATATTTCAATCGAAGAACGGTCTTCTGTTTCAGTTATATTTTCTCTCCACGTAACTCGCATCCCGATTTACAAAAACAACCCGTGTTCCCCACGATGGATTTCACTTCCAGAAGAGGTCGGAGCAACTTTCTCGAAGGATACCAACAACCCGTCCAATTTCCACGAAGATAATTATTCTCATGCAAACAATAGGGCAATCCGTCTCGACTCCTCTACCGAATCGTGAGTTCAGCGAACTGGACTAATCTATGATCGACCGAGAAGTGCTCTAGATGAAACGGCTCCGGAGCTCGACTCTCTCATCATTTCCTCTGAAACCAATACAACACACAATAAAAATTATTTTTTAATCATTCACAACATGGACGAAAGAAGATCTTCGAAATCAACACCGTCTGGCCGATGAGGACACTCGGAGACAAGGAAACATTCAGCAATCCTTCAAAAACTGATTACAAAAATAACGAACCCCTTCGCAATCACCATATCACTCAATAAGAACCGATTTCGGCAAACAAAATCGTCCGTAGTAAAGTTGCACGAAACGAATACTGAAAATTACGAGACGATCGACTGATTGATCGATGAGACCCTTGAGAAAGGTCGAAACTAGTCGTGGCAACTCTTTACATGATACTCACCCTCACCCTCACCCACCCTCAATGGAATGTGGAGGATCTCTGTGCTCGCGCACGCGTACGTGCAAACAACATTTTCTACAAAAATCCAAAACTTCTGTAAACCACAAAAAATTACCGGTCATTTATTTATTGTTATCTAAAAAAGAAAAAAACAATCAAATTACAATTTTTTTCTTACAACTTCAATGTTGGTTTTGTTGATGGCAATATCTGGATGATTTGGAGGGAGCGATTTTTCCCATATTATTTAAGCTTTCTCGTAATTTGAAAGTGCTTTTGAATACTCGCCGATGTTATAATACAGCAATCCGATGTTGTTGTAGGAATGACCGAAGTTGGGATTATTCGGAGGAAGAGCTATTTTCCGAATTTCAAGTGATCGTTGATACGATGAAAGTGCTTTTGAATACTCGCCCATGTTATCATACGCGATTCCGATGCTGTTGTAGGAAGTAGCCAAGTCGGGATGGTTCGGAGGAAGAGCTATTTTCAGAATTTCAAGTGATCGTTGATACGATGAAAGTTCTTTTGAATACTCGCCCACGTTTTTATGCACCAATCCGATGTTGTTGTAGGAAGTAGCCAAGTCGGGATGATTCGAAGGGAGAGCTATTTTCCGAATTTCAAGTGATCGTTCATACGTTGAAAGTGCTTTTGAATACTCGCCCATGTTTTTATACACCGTACCCAGTTGATTATAGTATTCTGCTTGATTTTTATCAGAAGTTGAGGATGATGATGAGTGTTCGAGAAGAATTGTGTAAAGTTTTTCTGCTTTTGTAGATTCTCCCAACCTAATAAGTATATCACCCAATCGAGACCATCCTGTTTTCTCTTTGTATTCCTGTCGTAGGTGTTCTGTAAGTGTTTTTAGTTGATGATTATCATTTGCTGTAAGAGTAAGACTGACTTGCCAGAGTCGATCAGTATCATTGTCATGGAGTCGTTCGATGTGATCGATATGAAAAATAGTATGTGTCGAAAAGAGAATTTCTTCTTCTTGATTTTTGTAGTAACCCACTTGACTGACATCAGCAAATGGAATTGATGATGTTGCACATACATTTGGATCGATAAGCATAATAAATAGAATACCAACGGTATCAGATTGATATGCTGCTGATTCTGCAAAACAAAGAGATATTTGGCGATTACGACTTGTTGAAACGAAATTATTGAAAGACATCAGTCTTCCTTTAGTTTGTTTGATTTTGTCAAAGATTTCAATTGATAAACCTTGTCCACGAAATACTTGAAATGGAACCATTGTAGCAGTATTATCGGTTGGTTGTTGCTGTTCATGATATAATTCTTGAATAAAAAGTTATTCACATACTAGGTGATCATTTTTGTTTTGGTAATTCTTTTTCTCCAGTGTGTTACCCATTCAAGTAAATTACTTGCGTGTTTGTACATATATCTCTTTGACAATAAAAAGAAATGATGAATGAATGAACCAAAATCTGATTTTGACTGAATGATTGTCTATCTTGTCGGTAGACTAGTGAATAAAACATTTGAAGATTCGTTTTAATATTTGTGATCGTTATTGTGGCGATAGCTATAGTCCGTTCGAACGGTCAAAAAAAGAAAGAGTCCGAGTGAAAATTTGATTTTGTTTAATATTCATTTCCATCTAATTTACCAATTTGTTTGATTTTATTTCGCTTTCTACATTCAATATGTACATTTTTATTCTATATATGCATGATATATACACGCAGAAGACTATGTACTAACATATTCCTGGATAACTTTTCAAGTTATGTCTTCTTTCCTGAAACATGACAACAGCTCAACCACACCCTTATACTTGATTACTATTATGATACATAACAATCAGTGTAAAAGAGAGAGGGAGGATATCTCTCAGACTGCACAAATACTTGCTGTAGTAATGGAGAATCCTGATATTATCAACGATCAAATGAATGAATGAACTACGCCGTAGAAGCCTGGATTTCACTTCGTTCGACAGTCCATATACTATCTTCCCTTTTCCACTTTATTCTATTAATACGTTGGTTTGTTCTGTATTGTATTGGTACATGTTATTAGATACTCCATTTCATGTTGTGTGTTCTTATATATAGTAGCACTTTATATCTCTTTCCCAAGCAAGTAAAAAATAAGTGAGGACACGCAACATGACTAGTCTAAAGTGTCCACACTACAGATAGATCAAGTCTAATCTGAAACATTTCGCATACCCGTCAGGACTAGTCGTTTCCATAAGGAACATCCTGTAACTGTGTATGAACTAGTCTGGGATATGTGTGCTAAAACTCGTCAAGTCTAGTCCATTTTGTCGGTTCAAACCGTCTAGTCTAGTCAGCTAAGCAGAAAAAAAGAGACGAAACATGGGTGGATTCGAATATCCTACCCGACAATATGAGAAACCTGACGAGCGTTCTCATGACAAATTATGACCTAATCGCAGACGGACTGCCGTCAATGTCGGGTGTCAATTGAATATTCTCTAGACTGAAAGGATAGAGTCTGTCAGACGGTAAAGAACGCTTTTGTCTGTCCGTGTGTCTGTCTGTGTGTTTGTCTGTCTGTCTGTAACCAGTTTTTAAAACAATGGTGGAATCTGTTGTCGGTTGATTCAGAGTGACGGTTTTTATATCACGTCAGATCAAGCAGAATCTCTCTTTCTCTCGTGGTTGATCGCTTTTGCGCCTTTTTCTCTCTTGCTCGCTCGACGATTTAGTGCTGTAACTCATTAGGCTTCAATGCCTCTCTGTCTGCGGATAATACGATTTTGAGACTTCAGTCCATCTCTCGTTGTCGATCGTTGATTTCATGTCCATGGATGAACGGTGTTTCATCGTCTTCATGTTCGGTTAGCAGCGTGTTGACCTAGCTCATGCCTATTGAAGAAGCTTTCCTGGTCTTAAAAGACGGTGGATACTGAGTTGAAATCCTTAGTTCATTTCGAAAGGGAAAAATTCCATCTACTGATGCAGGTTAAAATAAAGTTCAGTCTAGAAACGAGTGAATCGGAAGCCGATTCACGTTACTTGTAAATTCAATCGTATGGGATCGCGAACGAACGGGTAACCAGCTATCGGTTTCTATGAAATCCCATTAACTGATTTTATAGTTCTTCAGCAAACATGGCAATATTGACTTGTTGCTTGAGATGACCCTTTGTACATGTTTGCTAGTTAAATCTTCACGACAGCGTGAAAAAACATCCATCACAATGACAGCCCATGTCCAAACTGATAACATTCAAAACAGAAAAAAGCCACCTCGGTTTTTCTTCTGAAACGGGAAGGGAGATGTTAACGGAACATCGGGACCTGAGAATAGCTCTAAACGATAGCACATAACTACTGAAGGATACCTAAGTGTAATACGACATGAGGATCCAAGGATAACTCCAAATAACAGCATTTGAGAACCTAATGGTACCTGTAAATAATATGCTGTGACGATCTAAGGGTATCTTGAAATAATAGCACATGAAGACCCTAGGATGCCTCCCGATTATAAAACATGAGCACCCAAGGATATTTCTAGATAGTAGCAGACGAGGACCTAAGAGTACCTTCTAATAATAGTACCGGAGGATCCAAAGGTAACACCAAATAGTAGCGGACGAGGACCCAAGCGTACCTCCAAATAGTAGTACATGGGGAGGGAAAATACCTCCGTAAATAACAAATTCAATTTTGATCTGGTTCATTTCAAACAAGTTTTGTCAAATCCAAGTAAAATTCAGGAGCTGGATTTGATACATACCTAGGCATGCATGGTTTCTGAATAATTCTGATGTTGATGTAAATGTCGAATAAAAAATCCCATTTCAAGTATAATGTCGACTTCCGTTACTCGAAGACCACGATTCAACATCGAATACATAAAGTGAGGTGCTGTATACCACCAAATTGGTGTACGGCCAGGATATTCACGTTCGATTTTGTCAATCTGGTTTTCAGCAATATCATCTTGAAGACGACAATAATCAACCAACTCTTTAATTGATTTTTCATCATCGTCTTCAATTTCCAAAAGTGATTCTTTTAATAATTGCGTATACATAAATAACGCATCAATACCATCAAAACTGATCGAGATCATATCTCGATCACAATTCTCACGATCGATTTGTAATGATTCACAAATCGGCTCAATACGAGTATGCACATCTTTTACCTTAGCTATTTTTCTGGCCCATTCTTCATGAGCGGATTGATTGCTACAAAGCACATAAATCGATTCCAATTGTGGCCATGTTTGAATATCTGGTATTATTTGTCGACCCAATGAACCAGACACAATCATAAACACCTTTTCTTTTTTTATTTGACTGAGAAATTCGATGCATTCTTGAGCATCTGTAAATGTTGTGATCGATGCCACAATGCGTCGTAACTGTTGTAGAGAATTTTTGAAATCTTCATTTGATTCATCCAAATTGGCATCAAGCCAGACCAGAAGGAAATTTTGCAGAATGCGACGCACAGGGCGCGGCAGCACGGTATTTCTGTTCGTGCCTTCTGTTATTTCATTATTACTAATCGTAGCAGTAGCAGTGGCAGTAGTAGCACCACCACTTGCCGATGCTATTACGGATGACGAGTTCTTCGTTTTTTTCGCAATGGTCGATGACGACAAGGATGACGACGAGTCACTTACATTCGATATAGATCTGTTCTTGTCCATATCGATGATAATAATGTTAGTGATATTTTTTATCAACGAACAAAATTCAGTAGATGAAAATGAAAATTTTTTTGCAAACAATGAAACAAATACGATAAGACGTCGTCTGTCTCTTACTATATATATGTACTGTTGCTACTTTCCTTCTGTTGACACTTTGTTTATGGCTTGTTGCTAAAGGCTTTAAGGATTTTTTAATTTGATTGTTCTTTTATTTTAAGAGTATAGTTGACGAAATGTTGTTGACGAACGAGCGAGATATTTGTACACAAGTAGCGCGAGTCCAAGAGATTCGCTGACCCTTTTCTGAAAAGAAGGAAAATCTATCATTTTATGCTTGAGAAGGAAATTTATTCAAAAGCCGTATATGTTTTTTCCTAGGGATGGACAATTTCGATCTCGGCTCTAAACTAAAGCATGAAGATGTCGATACAGTTCCGATTAAAAAAAAACGTCAATTTTATCCATATCTAGTTTTTCTATCCGCAATATACCAGTTACTTATCTCATGTGCGCATTAAGGTAACTCTAGGGGGAAACAGCAGAGACTTCGCTCATGAAGTCCAATGAAATCTTGAAGTTTTTCGAAGTCTCCAGAAGTCTCTGAAATTCCAGGAAGTCTTTGAAGTGTCAAGAAGTCCCATGAAGTCTAGTGAAGTCTCTTGAAGTCTTGTGAAAATCCGAAGTCTGTATGACTGAAGTCTTGCTGTTTCCCGCTAGACGTCACTATTACTGTATTATATAAACAAAAACTGTGCCATAGATGAGATTTTCGCAATAGTATTACATTTATCCTGCTCAACATACAATGTTTTTAATAAAAAAAGTACGACATCTGAATCATTGTCAAAAGTCATTTACTGTCTACTAGTTTTTTACTGATATTTCATAAGTAGGTTATTGAAATTTAAAACAAGATCTTTTCGTAACTCTATTACAGCGATACTGATCAAGTATTATTGTAAGAATAATTTCACGTAGGTGGAAGGAAAAAAGTTTCTTCGGTTCCCCACAGAAAGATCATACAGTATAGTTTAACCAACATTTGATAATGGAGATTGGAACTTCACATTAAGATACGTAAATAGTTCCAAAGTAAGATAAAAATATATTGCAGCGGCAAAAACTACAAATAATACTTAGTGTATACATTTTAAAGATAAAGAGAAACGATCTTCCGAATTATAAAAAGAAATTTTTTCAAGTATAGAAGTTTACTTTACAACGCGATATAAACATTTAGTTCAAAATCTGAAATAAATACTTATGTTTGAGATATCGCATTATATAGAAGAATCGATATATATATAGATAATTAGGTATACTTACGATGAAAACTAACACTGGAATGTATTGAAGTTGCTTTTGTGCATCTTGAAAGCAAGTTATTTTACGTATTTATATTCAGTGAAGTTAGTTGGTTTTCTCCAAGTAATGTTTATTATGTGAACCAATCGGTCGTGTGAAATGGAGCTAAGCCATCTGCTTGCTCGTTCTGTCGTATTCAACTATTTCTTTTTCCTTTCTCTTGCTTTCGTATATAATATGAAAATGAGTCAAGCCTTGTGCTTATTCTTTTATTTGTACTTATCTATTTCTTTCACGTCGCATTCATTTTCATATATAATATATATCTCTCCTTCTTTGGTGCATCTGCACTTCTTTTTCCACTACAAGATGCTCACAGAAATTGTGCTCTCGTCCTCAGAACGAAGCGGAAGACTCTTCTCTTCCCACAACATCCAACGAATTCTCGAGGCCTTACATACACATGGAATCATCGTCCTGAAAGACATTATTGATCCAACCCATTTGGATGCTTTGAATGAATTCATGCTTTCCGAAGTGGATTCTCTCGTAAAAGTGGCACAGTTGAACTTTAACACAAAGAATATTCAACATGCACCACCTCTTCTTCCACTGAGCTTGCTATACGAAGATATCTACATGAATCCATTTCTTCTTCAAGCGGTGCAGCTTTATCTTGGTGCACAGCCCAAGTTCAACTTCATTAGCGGAAACACCGCTCTTGCTCATGGACTAACACGACAACCCGTTCACTCTGACGCAAACTTTCATCATCCACAATGTCCATTTTGCCTCGTTGCAAATATCCCGTTAATTGAAATGGACGTATCGACTGGTTCGACAGAGCTTTGGCCCGGTACACACATATTTACTAGGAATGATCAAATTGAGGAAGGTTTTGAAATCAAGAAATATCTCATGGAAGGAAGGGAATGTCTACAGCCGACCGTAAAGAAGGGTTCTGTCGTTCTGCGTGATTTGCGCTTGTGGCACGCTGGCATGCCGAATCCAAGCGATCGTACGCGTTGTATGTTGGCTCTAGGATACGTCTCGAATTGGTATCGTAATGACTATCGAGTACCTGTTCCCGAAGCAGTTGAGACGATTCTGACCGAGGGAATGGAAAAACTGGGAATCAAAGCAATGGTCACCAGTGTTTCGGAAGAGGAGTATTCAAAAGTTAAACATGGTCTTGATTCCACATTCGAACAGAGTCCTTAGTAACACTCTTGGTGAAAAAAGAAACGTTGATCTGATATGTTTCAACGTTTTCTACGCCAACTTATCTTCTTTCTTTTACAATAAACATGAAAAGTTATAATAGCTATCTCAGAATTCTGAAAGGAGAACTCGAATTCACTTATAAACTGACAATCACAGCTGCCAGTGCTGGTATAGACTAGAGTAATGCACGGGTACAACCTTTCATACCCGTGATCAAGGGGGAAATAGCGGAATCCTGGAATCTTAGATTCCAAGGATTCCAAGGATTCCGGCGGCTTCTATGGGTTCTCAAAGATTCCTCAGGATTACCGAAGATCCTCTAGGATTCCAAAGAATTCCGATAGATTCCAATAGATTCTCCTGGATTCTCAGAAAAACATGTATTTTATCACATGAATATGTTAGAAATTCTTATCCATTTTCACCAAAACAATTTTTAATATCCGATTGGTTTCATAAAACACAGCATGACTGAATCAATCTCCTTTTTAATCTGTAGTACATTAAAACCATCATATTTCAGCAGAGATATAAGTGCATCATTGCACTGAAGTGGTTTTATTCGTTAATAAGTCTTGATACTGTCTTAACCTCTTCTCACCGGCTATTCTGAAAAAAATAAAGGAGTTTGACAGAACCATTTTTAGGGGTTCTGCTGTTTGATACTGAGGGTGAGTATACCAAATACCAACTACAATCGATTTCATCCCTATTAAGGGAATCCTCAGGTAGTCATTGACAATCTGCATACAGAAACTCAATTCAAATCGAATTTCTAATGGAAATCCAACTCAAATCAAGCTCTAGAAGCAGCAGATGATCATTTAGTACATGGTGAGTATACCAAATAACAACTACAATCGATTTCATCCCAGTTAGTCATCGTTGTTGAAGTTAATCCTCGTTCATTATGTTACTAATCACAAGAGAAGGTGATGAGTTGATAGATCGTCGGCATGAATCGATACTTTCTTCACTCACCGAAGAATTTGACTTGTTTAAGGTCAAGATTATGGAATAACTGGAACATTCAAGTAATTTCGAGTGTATTGTCGACGGATGTCTGCCATTCAATGAGTCAATCCATAATATGCTTTATATAATAGTCGAGAACGTTTGATTTGAATAGTAAATACGTAATGAATCTAATAAGATGATACTGGAAATCATTGTGAAGACGAAACCCCTAGAAGTAGAACCACATTCTAATTGAACGAACCCGTCTTGAGTCATCTGTATCCCACAGTCAGCACTGTTCTTCGTAATAAATTGAGCAATCAATATAACTGATTAGCACTTTCTTTGCATTAATTTCCAGTACAATGTGCAGTTGTTTACGACACAATCAAATATCTAGAACAAGATAGACATGCATTTTGCTCTTCAGAGATTGAACGATAACTTTAACAAAGAACAGAGAATCATGATTGATTACTAAAGAAAAAGACAAGAAGGGACATTTCTGTCTCTAATACAGCAGGACTGAAATGCTTTCCATTGTATTGGGATGGATAGATCATTGCTGTTGAGGATGGCTAATTGTTCTTGAAGTTGGCTGCCAGCTTGAATTGAGTTATGTGCGAAGCACGCTCAATCATATGCAGGGGTGAGGGTGAGTTAGATATAAATGTTAGAAGAGATCCAACATTAGCAATCGTTTCACTTGTCCACGGACTTTCCATACATAACAGAGCGAACGTATCCACATGAATATGTCTTAATAAGCACGAAAGACTTATCAAGAAAGATCACAAAATTAGAACAGGAATCGAACCTGTATCTTCCGATAACCGGTCGGATATTCTACCATTAAACTATCCCATTCTCTCTCCAGTCAAAAGTAATTGACTGCATATTCGAACATAAGTTCTTTTTTGCGTATGATGTTCAGGACAATAGTGAATTCTAGATACACTAGATTGAAATGTCCTCTTGCTGTACGATAGCATCGAAGCTAAGTCCTCTGTTTTAAGAATCATCCGAAGCAGCAAAACAGAACTCCTATCCACGATAATGAAATTGTCAGGATACAATTAAAGCTTTTTAGAGTTCAGAGGATCGACACGGCTTTTCATCCTTTCTCAAGGGACTCATCAGATAAGCATACCACGACCGGTTTCGACCTTGCCCAAGGTTCCTCCCAAGGGGCTTAAGACAATTTAGTCTAATCCTAGTTAGAATCAAATTCAATTATCATCTATTAATCCACTGCTACAGGAAAGCTTTTTGAACAGAGTGTAGAATAATGAAACGAGTAGTACAATTTAGTCAAGCATACCTCGACCGGTTTCGACTGTGGCAAGGAGACATCGTCGGGTACGATTAGAACTATCACTACATCACCTAGTCATGAGTATCATGTAGATTAAATAGCAAAACCTACCTATCCATGGGAAACAGATCGCCATCACGTCGAAGCTTCTACCAATATGAGCTCAATCCTCACAGTGTGACGTACCATAACACTAAAAGTCGAAAACAGTCTCACAATCGGTTCTACCCTGCCTTCAGTGTACGCAACCAATACCCGTGTCACTCCTGCCTACACAACAGTTCATAACAGATTGCAAATCCGTCATGACGACGAACATCTCCATTCCTTCATTGAAAAGCACCCGGCACAGAATGTGCAACAAGACCATACACAAACAAGAAATAGTCGACAATATTCGACCAGCTGACCCTTCCGAAATCGCTCAAGACCGACAGAAGACGACATATCGTCAAAACCTAATACAAAACGTAGAAAAGCACCAACGAAGAAACCACAATCTGGCCCACCGCACATAAAACTTTCAAGCATCCCGACCGAAAGACAACTCCAGCGACAACGGCACACCCTAATCAACTCCAACACTCCGACTCTTATCGTGTCCAAGTACTTCCCAAAAAAACAGCAAAAACAACGAACAAATTCTCGGAGACACAACACATGACCCCAATGTACCCGCAAACGAGTATTTCCTCTATATCATCGGTGAATATGATCCGATCGACCTCAAACAAATTGCCTTTTTATTTTCTCAGCATACCACACCCAATCCTGCAAGAAAAAAAAATTTCGACCACAGACTCAGACAAAGGTGAACTTGGGTACATTTGAAAAAAAGAAGTCTTTCGCCTTGATCCAAAAAAATGTCAACTCAACCGAAATTTTGCATCTGGATGATAAGAGAAGCGGTCAGAGATGAGAGTGGGACACGAATTGGAGACAGAAAAAAATAAAATTGTGATGAGAAAAAAGATGTGGTGCCACGAAATGTTGAACTTTTGCTGTACGACTGTCCTGTTCTTGTCGATTTTCCTTGATTTCTCATCAACTACATTTTAAATCTCTCTATTTCTCTGTTCCCCTGTGCGAAGGCTGAATTTGGTTGGTGTTCATTCGTGGTTCAAAATTGAAGAATTCCTCCACGAAATGGCAATCTCCTTGAAGAATTGTCGAGTTAAACAGCAAAATCAATCTTTCGTTGCCAACTGAACTGATTGAACGCTCAGTTCTCAATATTTAGTGTTAATCCTCGGTAGTTTGTCTGTTCCTCTCTCCTTTGGTTCCACTGCGTCCTTTGGTCGGCCTTCGGCCTCCTTCGAAAATTCCATCATTCTCTCACTCTGTCTCACTAATCCTGCTGTATCTCTCTCTGTTCTGTCGAAAACACAACACCAGAAGGCGGTCTCTCTAAATGCTGGTGCCCCGAAAGAAGTGACCAGTCCCGCAGCTCACGGGGGCACAGGGGTATGGTGCGGGTGCCACGAAATCTTCATTGCACTCGCCTAATTTCAAGCAATCTTTCGCCTTGATCCAAAAAAATGTCAACTCAACCGAAATTTTGCATCTGGATGATAAGAGAAGCGGTCAGAGATGACAGCGAAGCATGAATTTGAGAAAAAAATCCTGATCACTGGAAGGTATGGTGCGGGTACTCATGAATGTTAATTAAGTGAATCTGCCTCTGTTGCTTGCTTTTCCTCTGTAGTCGAACGTTGACTCTGATCGTTGTTGATTCGTCACTCAAAATTGAAGACTACCTTCACAAAATGGCGATCTCTTTGAACAGTGGACGAGTTAAACCGAATAATCATTATTCTCCTGCTAAGTGACCTGATCGAGCGGTCAGTTCTCAGCATTTGCGACGATTTTTGGATATTTTGTCTGTTCATCTGTGCATCCCTGTCTCTCTTCCATCGTTCCACTGTGCCCTTTGGTCGGCCTTCGGCCTCCCTCGACTTCCTTCATTCTCTCACTCACCTCACTATGCCTACCGTATCTCTCCCCGTTCTCTCCAAGACACAATTGAAGAAGGCGTTCTCTCTTAATGCGGGTGCTCTCTTAATCTGACACTCACCACCTCAATAGGCATATGGCATAGTGCGGGTGCTACGAAATCTTGATTCCTTGCTCTATAACTGTCCTGCTCTCGACCCCTGTCCTTCTGATTTCTATTTCTCGCGTTGAGGGTGAGGATGGGGTGAGTTCATATAGGCAGTTGAGAATCCAAGCTACGGACGACGATCGTTTCGGATGGAACTTAATCCATTCATCATCAGGGGAGTATAGATTTTAATAGTGAAGATCGATTCAACACGTAACATGGAATATCAAAAGAATTTTCTTGAAAGAAGACTTCGTGAAGTGTACATTTGATTTCGTAACTTCGGAATCGATAACTTGGAAGATGATCAAGTATTTTATTTTATTATTGCGGTTATGCTCGGTTGTCATTGATGCTAGTCCAATAGATGCACTGATACCAGAAAGGTTCCTGATCTTTTGCCAGCATCCGCAAGAATGAATAGTTGGGGTTGAAGTGAAGTTGCGAAAGCCTTATGTAGCGCTGCTTGCTGCTATAAAAATGCAGTTGACACTGGTACTTGTATCAAATCTCAAGGAAGACCCGTCTGCAGTTGTTCTCGTTGTTCACTGTTAGGAAAGGCATAGTTTTAACAACCATCGAAAAGAAAAAAGACATTGACATTCAAGAAAGGTTTCTTTCCAG